GGTACGTCACCTTTTGATCACAGTAAAGTTTTTTTAGTCTTGCATGTTTTTGGGTGATATTTTTGAAATATTCAGATAAAGTATTTTTTGGAGTTTTAAGCACAAATTATTCACTTACAGCATGTTTTGCAGCATTTTAAGGCAAACAAACTGCCAGAAATGCCTCAAAATGCAAGTTTATGCCACAAAACATGCTGTCATGTGGATAATTTGTGCTAAAAACTAAAAAAAAACCCATCATAGTTAAAGATGTCAAAATATCACCAAAAACAATCAAAAACTTCTCAAAAATAAATAAAAATGCACTCATGTCCTTCAAAATACTAAACCATTTAACAATTTTTCAGAAAAATATATATATACTTTTTGGGGAATCGTCAGCTTTTGATCACAGTATGACGTATGACGACTTATACATCCAATCTGCAACTAGTTGTTTTTAATCAAAAAATTAAATACAAACATGAGGTTCCTCTGTCCATATTTAATACCATCATAATTTCTGTTTGTCATTTAAAGGTCAAATTTAATGCAAATTCTCAAAGGGCTGCAGAGTGTGCACGACCAACCCAGCTGTAATGTTAATCGGCGATCACCGTCCGTCCAAAACTCATAGCCTAGGCTACAATAACCAGGAGCTGGTCTATTATATAGAATGATTTCATTAGAGGCCAACTGCAATTAAAATCATGCACTTGTTTTATTTCTGACTGTGCTCCGGTACTGCTCTGCGTCACTTAAACGTCCGCTATCAGGATGGATGCTAAGCTAAGCGACAATAATCGATACGGTAAAGGCACATTTTGCTGAACGGAGGAAGGTTTTGACCAAATAATAAATACAACGTAGAAAACACAGGCAAACGCACAGGTACTCTACTTACTAGTTGGTAGGTTTGGACGTACGTTTGGACAACAACAGCGTCTATTTAATCCCCTTGCTGGTTCTGATTTTCACCATCATGACTCCAGCTCATCTTACGTCATTACTAACTAATCAAGGTTGACAGCCGCGCGACTTTGGATTGATAGCTAAATGGCAAGTAAACATTTTGTTTTGGAAGGGGACGAAACAACTGTCCATTTTGATCGATACAAATTTAAGCAAACTTGCTGTGCGACCACATTAAGTTCTCAAATGTTTGCTTGATTCATTAGCCCTTTGGGAAACTAATTGGAAAAGGGCAACGAGCTATTGGTAGCTTGCAAGTGACGCGTTGGAGACCCCTGTACCATGCTAATACTAAGACGGCTTCAATGACAATCAAAACATTTGTTTAAAATGTAAAATAAAGGAACAAAGATTGAAGTAATTGTTTTAAAAAATATTTGGTGAGAAAGAAAATGTTTTGGAAATCAAAGCTGAAGTGTTATCATTGGTACTGACCACACTATCAATGGGTTTGTTTAATGCAGGACAGAGGTAAACACGTTTTAGTTGTTTAAAGTCTCACAAAATAGTATAATACTTATAGTAGCAAATATATAATATACTATACACTGAATCAGAATAATGGCTTACAGATGTTAGGGGCTTTCCTATTTGTTATTGCCCAACAGATTTCAGCAACACCGTTTTCATTAAAAAGCTAGTTTTATTAGAAATGTTACATTTCTAAAAAAACACTCACCCAGTGTGTTTCAGTTCAGTGTGTTTTTGCCATTTTACACACAACAACATATATTACCCATTTTACAGCAGCTCTTGAGTGAGTACTACAGTAGTTTGACATGGTAAACAAGTTATTTGAACCAATATGTCAGTTGAGGGAACATGACTTGAAGTATTACACAAATCATTAGTCCATCACTGCACACATGACAAGGTCTCCTCAAGAAATCCTCTGTGTCAACGCCCCCACATAAATCACTGTACTGAGGAACGTAACGTCTTCTTAGTACTCTATTGTCACTGCCTTTGTCTTAAGATATTCATTCAGAGCCTCTTGTCCTAGTTTTCAAAACAGATGCAAAAAGGAAAAATAAAGCTTTTGGCACTTAAATATATATAAATAAATATATCAAAGACTTACAGCTGCTGTGTGATATATTCTGCACAACCATATTAGCATTAAAATATGTTTATAGCTTTAAAATCTTTAGAACTAAACATCCGAGAGGCTTCACTGAGAGGCTTCACTGTTCTTTGTTATTAATTTAACAGAAAATATTGTTTTTAACCATAAACAGTTGTTTGTCTCTTACCCAGGTCTTTGCCAAATCCAGACTGTTTAAAGCCTCCAAAAGGTGACGCCACATCAGTCTTGTTGTAGGTGTTGACAAACACGGTGCCAGCATTGAGCCGTTCACTGACGTAAAGAGCTTTGCTGATGTCCTGCGTAAAAACTCCTGACGCCAGGCCATACTCTGTAGCATTGGCTCGTCTCAGGACATCGTCCACTCCACTGAGACATAAGGACAGAGAAATGATATGTTTGCATTTGGAGAAGTGCAAAACACACAATGTAAAAAAATTAACACTTTATATAATCAATGTCACCATTGTATTCCTTGCTCTGTCCAGAGCAATTTACCAAGCAAAAAGTTAAAGGCACGAAGAAAATAAGGTCTACATTAGAGCTGCCCAATAAGTAGATGGTGATCTACCAGTAGATTGAAAGAGAGTGCTGGTAGACCATGAGCAACTAAAATAAGTTATAGCCACGTGCATTTAATCAGAACCCCAACATATAATGTACATATAAAGTTTGTTCTGTTTATACGAGTACTGTAAATATGTACTCAACGTTTTCAATCTAGCTAGGTCCCTTCAGCCTGGCCTTTGAATAGTTGCTGCCAAGCCAAAAAAACTGTGAGCACCCCTGGTCTACATGAATGATAGCTCCTACACTGGGGTCAACTGTAGCTTTATGTGCGAACTTCCTTCGAATTTTTTTTACAGATTTTTAGGTATGTCCAATAATATAGGGCGACAGATATTATCAGCCTGATATTAGCATAATTATGTAATATCTGTAAGATTCGTTACCGGTTTTTCCTCCAATAATGAAAAGACGATAACGCAGATTGTGAGTTTTGCCAAATAATGTGGTATCGCTTGTAGGGTCCACAGTTTTGGGAGCAAACGGCTGCATATATTGGTATCGGTTGATATCATAAACGGAAATTAAGTGTTTAGACAACATCGGCATATCGTCAAAAAGTTAATATCGGACATCCCTACTTTTTTTAATTTGAAAACATTCTCTTCTCACTCTAAAAAAAGGAAAAATCCTTTGGAATTACATATTTGTATGTATGTACAAATAAACATACAAATGTATATATATATATATATACATATATATATATATTTGTGTAGATATGAAAGGTTAGAGATCATCTAATGTAGCCTTACTTGCTCTTGAACTTGGAAATGATCATTACAGGACCAAAGGACTCCTCCTTAGCGATATACATGTGATCCTGCACGTCGGTGAACACTGTCGGTTCAAAGAAGAAACCTGGAATAGGAAACATAAAGACCTCACTGATGGACCTGTTGAAACATCTGCACCTCCACACACTGATGATCCACTGCTGTCTTGCCTGGGCGCTCCACTTGTTTGCCTCCACAGATCAGGGTGGCTCCCTCCTTGATACCTTTTTGACAGTACTCCACCAGTTTATTCATGTGTGCTCTGTGGTTCTGTGGTCCATGGTCAGTGGAGCGGTCAAAGGGGTCACCGACCTTCATCTTTTTCACCTCCCCTACCTAGGAAAAAGAGTATTTTAGTTCCAGGAAGACCTTTAGGACCAAACATTCCTACATAAATGAAAATATATGTGTATCTCAGGGACCTTTATCAGACCTGGTGTTGCTACAACTTTGAAGGATACATTAAACTTTTTGTACAAATATTAGCCATTATAAATTTCAAATATTG